GTTGCCCCCTTGGCTCCTCCGTCCTGATGGCACCCTTGTTTGGGGTGTGTGTTGGGAATAATGCTCAGGTACTAAACTTAAGGTGAATAAAGTGATTGAATCAGAACCATTTTAGTGGCTGTATTGAATAAATCGACTTTAAAAGTGCATCAGTTTTATTGATTATTGTCTGATCGTTTTATTTTGACACAGAAGGCAGAGAGGCACATCAYTCTCATTTTCATGCAGCAGAGTAAATATTTCTGAGATGATGTAGGGTTACTATAAGTTCCTGCTGATTGTTCAACCTTAAATATGAGGAAGCTGTCATGAAGTCATCACTGAAAGAACCTGGTTCTGATTCTGCCGGGACACGAGTCTGCACGTCCCGATCCGCTCAGCCCAAACATTCCCGACTTTAACTCTAAAACCTGCAAAGCTGCGGGCAAAGGAAGAACAAACCCGGGTCTTACCATGGTAGTGGTCCCGGGTCTTGCCATAGTGGTGGTCCCGCACTCATGCCTGCAGTGAGCCCAGACCTCCAGTCAAACAGCGGACAGCTGGTGGTCCTGAAGCTGCAGCAGCAGCTAAAAACAACCCCCCACTCTTCAGCAGCTCCATGAATAAGACCAGGCGCGCCTCGTCTTCCAGCTTTAATCCGGACATCCTCTCCCCCCAGGGGAACCAGGGGAACGCTCCTCCTGAGCGCGAGGAGCGCCCTGACTGGAAAAAACACATTGCAAAGCGTCGATCTGCGCTTCCAGCGGGGAGACAACGAGGTCTGGACTGAAATGTGAGAAGATCCTCCTTCTCAGTTTAATCTTTCCCACAGCTGGCGGAAAACTGGAGACAGACGCTGACACCAGGAATAATCCGTGCACAGAAGACAGAGAGCACAGTTTCACTGCATAGACAGAGTTATTAATACAYCATTTACATCAGCTGAGCTGTTTGTAGTTTTCTGCTCTCACAGCGTTGTGAGTAAGGGTCAGAGGTTAACCGGAACCCATAAACATCAAATTTGACAGACCTTTGTTTTTATTTTATTTATTTATTTGTCTGTTTTTTTAGGGAGTTGTGTCAGAAAAATGCTGGAAGACGTGAAAAGCTGGAGCCAAACCATCATAGGACAATGGGTGTATAATGGAAAGTTAACTTTATTTTCAACATGATTTTGATTTACATAATTTAATGCATTTACCAATAA